GGGTACTCGTCTTCGTTTTTGTTACTAAAATGCTCAACCTCATCGTCTTCTTCAAAGTCACTGTCAGACTCTGAATTTTCAGAAATGTGAAATATCTGAAACCTCTGTCAACATCATCATCAGAAGCTCCTCTCTCCAAAATCAATGGATGGCCCTCGCAGCAGATAATCTTTGCCATCTGATCATTGTGATAAAGAAACCACACCGGCAAAGTCTATTTATAGTATAGCCCCTAATTGCAGGTGGACAGGTATGAGAAGAAAAAATTGGATCCCTCAAGAAAGAGGTAAAATGTCGGGAATGTCAGAGCAGACGGTGTTGATAGTTGAATTTTCAACAATGCTGCACTTGTGCGGAGCAGGAGGGGAAGAAAACACTATCAGCACACCAGAAAGGAAACGAGTGTGGAACACAGACCGCACTTCAACACTTTATTAAGACCTGGTCCAGTGACCGAACACCTTGTATGTAATGTAAATGCGTGGGGGAGGTACAGTATGAGGTCATTGAAAATTAGTTTGGATTTATGTTCTTCACAGAAAATAAGCCAAAGCCAATGAATTTCAGGTGAAAAAATAATTAATTGTTTAATTTTCCTTTTGAAAAAACTGAAAACGGGTCTCACAGACCCGAACACCATACAAGGGTTAAAGCGTGCTTTCAGTGACATATTGATTATCTGCTGGGTGAAATGTGTTCATGTGATCAGAAAATGATTCTGCTCTGCTGATGAGTCTGTTCCACTGCCACAAACATGAAACACACCTCGATACCTGTTCACCAACCACACCTGTGAAATAAACAGCCATACTGAGCGTTGATCGCTTTTACAACAGGATTGTATTTTACTGGTATTTCTTTATACTCCTTTTTATTCCTAATGTCTGTTGTGTTGTAAGGACCGTTTCTGTGGAAGATGGGAAACCTGGGTTAACTCAAGTTATATCTGTTTATCCTGATAAGTAAAAATAATACTAATGAAGGGTGATCAGGCCTTTCCTCAAGATCTGCCCCAAAAACAATCAGAGCTCATATTGCATAATTACTTTATTTTATTCAATTACTTTATTGTGTACTTCAACTTTCAGCGTTGCCAACGCTGAAGTTTGTCATGCTGGATTTAATGGTGACATTAAAATCTGTGTGAGTCAGATCATAGCCATCAGCTTTTCCTCTGACAAACCCTCTCTCAGGAGTGCGATACATCTTATCATAAAAGCACTATCATGTTTGTTTCCCCGTCAAAGACTCCGACGGCGCACCAGTTAGAGTACAGGCCGTAGTCAAAAGGAACGAGAACAGGACGGCTATTTTCTTATCAGCTCTGTCTGCAGCTGTATCGTAGAGATCGTAGGTGAAGACTCCACAGATCCTCGCGCTGTGCCGCCAGTCTTAGAGAACAGAGCGCTGCCACATTCAGAAGGCCCAAGTTTTGTTGGCAAAGGGATTTGCAGAGTCCGCTAACAAGATGCAGACTAGTGAGGAAAAAGAAAAATATGAATTAATATTCTTATTCCAACAGGACCGAACTCTCATAATGATCAGGTGGATGAGTTGTTTAGAGAAAGAAACATGGACAGGGCTATTGCTGCTGAGATGACAACATCATGTCAGTGTTCAGAAGAAATTTACTGCTCGTCTATTCAATTCAATTTTATTTATATAGCGCCAAATCACAACAAAAGTCGCCTCAAGGCGCTTCATAGATACAGAGAAAAACCCAACAATCATATGACCCCCTATGAGCAAGCACTTTGGCGACAGTGGGAAGGAAAAACTCCCTTTTAACAGGAAGAAACCTCCGGCAGAACCAGGCTCAGGGAGGGGCGGGCCATCTGCTGCGACCGGTTGGGGTGAGAGAAGGAAGACAGGATAAAGACATGCTGTGGAAGAGAGACAGAGGTTAATAACAGATATGATTCAATGCAGAGAGGTCTGTTAATACATAGTGAGTGAAGAAGAAACACCCAGTGCTCATGGGAATCCTCCAGCAGCTATTGCAGCATAACTAAGGGAGGATTCAGGTCACCTGGTCCAGCCCTAACTATATGCTTTAGCAAAAGGAAAGTTTGAAGCCTAATCTGAAAGTAGAGATAGTGTCTGTCTCCTGAATCCAAACTGGAAGCTGGTTCCACAGAAGAGGGCCTGAAAACTGAAGGCTCTGCCTCCCATTCTACTTTTAAATACTCTAGGAACAACAAGTAGGCTGCAGAGCGAGAGCGAAGTGCTCTAATAGGGTGATATGGTACTACAAGGTCATTAAGATAAGATGGGGCCTGATTATTTAAGACCTTGTATGTGAGGAGCAGGATTTTGAATTCTGGATTTAACAGGAAGCCAAAACAGGAGAAATCTGCTCTCTCTTTCTAGTCCCTGTCAGGACTCTTGCTGCAGCATTTTGGATCAGCTGAAGGCTTTCAGCGAGTTTTTGGACATCCTGATAATAATGAATTACAGTCGTCCAGCCTGGAAGTAATAAATGCATGAACTAGTTTTCAGCGTCACTCTGAGACAGGATATTTCTAATTTTAGAAATGTTGCGCAAATGGAAGAAAGCAGTCTTACATATTTGTTTAATATGTGCTTTGAAGGACATGTCCTGGTCAAAAATGACTCCAAGGTTCCTCACAGCGTTACTGGAGGCCAAGGTAATGTCATCCAGAGTAAGAATCTGCTTAGATACCATATTTCTAAGCTTTTCAGGGCCGAGTACAATAACCTCAGTTTGATCTGAATTAAGAAGCAGAAAGTTAGCGGCCATCCAGGTCTTTATGTCTTTAAGACATTCCTGCAGTTTAACTAATTGGTGTGTGTTATCTGGCTTCATGGACAGATAGAGCTGAGTGTCATCTGCATAGCAGTGTAAATGTATGCTATGTCTTCTAATGATGCTGCCTAAGGGAAGCATGTATAATGTAAACAGAATTGGTCCTAGCACTGAGCCCTGTGGAACTCCATGATTAACCTCAGTGTGTGAAGAGGACTCTCCATTTACATGAACAAACTGGAGTCTATTAGATAGATATGATACAAACCACTGCAGCACAGTACCTGTAATACCTACAGCATGTTCTAATCGCTCTAATAGGATATTATGGTCGACAGTATCGAACGCTGCACTGAGGTCTAGCAGGACAAGCACAGAGATGAGTCCACTGTCAGAGGCCATAAGAAGATCATTTGTAACCTTCACTAAAGCTGTTTCTGTGCTGTGCTGAGCTCTGAAACCTGACTGAAACTCTTCAAATAAACCATTCCTCTGCAGATGATCTGTTAGCTGTTTGACAACTACTCTTTCAAGGATGTTTGATATAAAGGAAGGTTGGAGATTGGCCTATAATTAGCTAAGACTGCTGGGTCTAGAGATGCTTTTTGAGTAAAGGTTTAACTACAGCCAGCTTGAAGCCTGTGGTACATAGCTGATCATTAGAGATAGGTTGATCATATTTAAGATTGAAGAATTAATTAATGGCAGGACTTCTTTGAGCAGTTTTGTAGGAATGGGGTCTAAAAGACACGTTGATGGTTTGGAGGAAGTAATTATTGAAGTTAACTCAGAAAGATCAATTAGAGAAAAAGAGTCTAACTTAACATCAATGGTACTAAGAGTACCTGATTCCCTTCTGTTACTTTTATTAGTGATATCAGTGAGGTGTCAGGTGATGTGCAGCAGCATCTCAGTCACAGTAAGAAGTGTGGTCACCTGGGGTTTTGAAGGGTGTAGCCCTCAGTCTTGTTCGTAATATGAATGACGGACTGCCGAGCGCCCATGGTGTCCGCAAACTAAAGAACAAAAAGAGAGAGAAGAACGTGTTCCTGTCTGTGGGAGCATCTCTGTTCGTAAGACAGTAAACGTGATACAAACACCATCATGTCGTCCACTGTTACAGCCCCAGTGCTCCACCCTGTGGGACTTTTCCAATAAGAGAGACTTTACCTAAAAAGTTTCCTTCAAAAGGCTCTGCAGCTTTATTATTTATTAAAAAACAGTTTGAACATGGAGCACCGTGTGTGCGAGCAGCTGTGACTCACGTTTCCACAGCGAGCGCTCCGAACGAAACGATGACAAACAGATTCTGAACACGTCAGAGAAAGGAACATCTTTGTCTGTGTTTCAGTCAAATAAACAAGCTCGGACTCACAGTGATGAGATGAATTCAGGTGATCGGTCACCAGTGTTCGTGTGCAGTCCTTGCAGTCTGACTGAGACCAAACAATCCTCGGTTTGTACTCTGAAAGTGAAGCAGAACATCTGTTCATGAACTAAAGGAGATTTGTAGAGAGATTTTTTTTTCCCTTTCCAGAAAAAAATACTACCTCATTTTTTTTCTGGAGATTCGAGAAAAATGTTTTTTTACTCTGACATGTTTTGGTTTATTTCTTTTTGATTGGTCACTAAGATATTTAAAGCAAATCCCCCTCTCGCCCCTGTGGGCTGTCTTTATTGTTCAAGCTCGTATTTGATAGCTAAAGGCTGCACACTAAAACTGGTGATTATTCACTCTGAATTATTCTTATAGGTCGTCCAACTATAAGGTTGCTTTGAAGGTAACATTGTGGTGTTTATCCAGTTGGATTAAGTTTGCAAATGTGCAAAGGGCTGATTATGTTTGCAAGCAGCATATTCCATTAATATTAATTGCAAATCACTGAATGCAGGACATTATGATCGGGAGCTGAATGAAAGCGCAGCTCACTCAACACAAGCTGAACAGCAGAGAGGGAGGAGAGCAGTGAAGAGTAACCCATCTGGCTACACTAAGTAACAGTTACTGTGGAATAGCTCAGGCCGCATTCAGTGTGTTTCGTCTGATTCCTGGACTCTGATCACGCACTAACAGGTCATGGCGGACACGCTCGGCCTCGTTGGGCCAGCTGTGAGTCCGTTACCATGAACTATGGTTTGTGCTGGAACTGAGCTGCACACAGCTGATGTTGATGTGTGCATCGGAGACCATTCAGATGGAAACCTGCAGACCCACAGAGCTGAGAACTGTCTCTGCACATCTGCCTGTGTTAGAACAGGAAGTAGTTTCTAATTTCATCAAGCTTGTCAACTTCCTGTGGTCGCAGCGATGTTAAAAACAGGAAGTGTGGTTGCTAAGCTGTTGCTATGTGTGCTGATGTCACACAGACTAGGATGAGGTGCAATATATTAGACAATTCACACAATTCACAGTATATCGGTTTAGTGTTCACCTCTCTCGAATAAAACACCACCAAAAATGTGTTTTCCTATTAAAGGTGACGAATTTTGTAATGTAATGTGATGCGTTACACACAAACAAGCCTTACTGCTCGTATTTATCAGGTTTTCTCCTCGTGCATTTAACAAAATAGAAATACAGGTGTAGTTCATTACCCCGTCTGCTTTTTGTAAAGATGACTTTATTCTGATGTCATTGTTTGATAGAAACACGTCTGTCTAGTGGCTAGAATGCTGGCAGTCCGCCCAGTCACCGCTCACTGTTTTAGGACATTTAAATGCAAAAATGCGTCTTTGGGCACATTTTAATGTCCACTAAAGTTAGCGTTGTAATAGCAAACAAGTATTTTTGATGCAATTGCATTTAAAAACAAAAGTGACATTTTTTTCTCCCCTCTGAGGTCAGTGGGAGGAGGCACAGACCCACCATTTAAACTGAACCCCTTTTGGTTACACACTTTTGGTTGTGAAATCACAACAGTCTGATGGGCTTGTACAGGGCGATGGCTGTGTAGATTTTTACCAGAGGTAGAACGTGAAATATGTGACTCTGTGTGTTTCCCATCCTCTCAGTGTTGGGATGGTGAATGAAGGAGTTTTGTGCAGTTCCAGCAGAGACACTAAAACACAGCAGTGATTGTGTCCAAACAGACAAACATGAACTAAATGCAGTGAAGCTGCTGTTTGTCTGAGTGCATCAAATGTCTGAGGGAACTCACTGCACAGGAACGTTTACTTTTATTTCACTGTGAAGGCTGAACCCTCTCTGAAGTCAGCAGCATCATTTCAGAGTTTTAGAGTCGAACATTTCTAACAGGAAGTGATCAGAAGTCTACAAAAGGCTCTGAATCCTCAAACACTGAGAGGAAATCTGCTGTTCAAGCTGCTGATCGTGTTGTCAACATTTCAACACTAACTCCAGATGTTTCCAGTTGCACATCCATCACATCAGGGAAGTTCTGGCAGCAAAAACTGATCAAAGGCTGAAAACACTCATTTATCTGTGAGCAGCATCAACTTTTAGACAACAGGAAACATCAGCAAGCATTTTTACATCAGTCCCAAAATGAACAGAGCTGCTGCCTCCATCTACAAACTGCCCCACATGCAGAACCACAAACTCCACCCTGCACTGAGAACTGAAAAAGTCTTCACTGTTACTTTTCTACAGATCATCACTGAAAATATTATGACTGACTCATCATGGAGTCTTTTTTCCTTCAAACTACAAACATCCTGGACATTAAATGTTTCTGTAAACAGCAGCAGAAACTTCCAGGAACTGAAGACAAAACTTCAGACTTCAACACAAACAAATGTATGAACCCGGTCTCTGCCGCCATCTTTTATATACAAGCTATAGATAGTCTACAGTGGAAATAATAATTGAAACCAGCAAACACACAATCACGAAAAAGCAGAAGTTATACTGATGTTAGCCAGGAAAACATTACAGACTGCTTCCATTACCTTCACAGCGTCAGTCACAAACATTTACTTCAGGAAAGTGAAATTAAAGTTTGAACAGGAAGGAAACACCCACAGAGGCATCTGAGGACACCGAAACAAACACACTCTGTGCTGCATTCTAGTGCATCTTGGAAACTCCCAAAGCTCTGGCAGGTTATCTAAAGGTGATTTATTTCTGCCGGTTTTCCTGTTTGAAACACAAACATCCGTCATCACTTTGTTCTTCTTCTTCCTGCAGCGTTTGAATATTTAAACACTGAACTGATGTTGGTTCAAAGCTCATTTCAACCTGTTGAAGTTATGAATGAAAGTGCAGACTGAGAGTGGATCACATGATGTTTAAGGTGTGTCATGTGACATGTTCAGTATTGTCACACATGTCTAGATTGTCCCTGATATCATAGCTGCTCAAACACTGATGATTATATTTGAAGAATTATTCCTGATGGCAGCAAAGTTTGAATGGAGCTCTCTGTCTGTGCTGATTTGTCGCCCTCTGGAGGTCAAAGCACAAACTGCATGATGTCACTGTAACCACCACAGTGACAGGAAGTGTTTTTATGACTGAAACACTGAAATGATGCTAACGGCTGTCGTTAGGCTCACTGACAGCAGTGCTGATGTGTTCATGTCCAACACTGGCTCAGGTCAGACTCCTTCATCCTTCTCCAGCGTGAAGCTGCCCTCAGACCCACAGGAGCTCTGACCTTTGACCTCCTGACCCTAACCATTTTAGTCTCTTTGCATCTTTAAATGCAAATCCATCCAAACTGTAGCCGAGCACCAGAAGCTGGAAGTTGTTATATGAATGATGATCATAGCAGAGTTCCTGTTTCCAGCTCAGACGTGTTAAACGCTGCTGCTGTGCTACATTTGTCATTTCCTGCTTTCACTACCATCCATGTCAAAGTGCTGAACTCATCTGATCACTTTAATGTAGTAAAGCAGGAGCTGTAAGTCTGACATTTATTTACTGTCATCACAAACACACACAGCTGGATTAGCACCCAGACAAAGGTCTGAAAAGATGAAAATCAGCGTCTGATTTCTATTATATATCCTGTTTTGTGGATGCACTTTTCTATCTGTCAGTGCTGAAGCAGACATCACTGATCACATGACTCTGAGGGATGTTTCCAGCACCTTGCTGAATCTGAGCCATGAAGATTTAAGGCTCAGCTCTGAAGGCAAAGCAGGTCTGAGGCTGTGTTAGCAAACTGTACCTAATAAAGTGGCAGCAAGGACTCAGTCAATAATGATCAGAGCCAGCAGGGGGCAGCACAGAGAGGTGAGGCGCTGTCAGAGAAGCAGGCTGACATCAGACTGGTCATATTCCATCATCTATACCTGAAATAATCATCAAACACACGCAGAGCAGAAACATGTGGAAACATCTGGAGCTCAGTCTCAGTTTGACTCCTCAGAGGTTTACCTCAGTCCTGCTCCTCTGCTTCCTGTTTACAGCTGACATCATGCTGTGTACTGAGGGTCATGTGGTCAAAGCGAGGCCCTGGTACTCTGACAGAGAGTACAGTCATCCTAATGTGTGACATCACTTCTTACCAGAGAGCATTCAGCTTTCACAGCAGCTAACATCCTGTCACACTGAGCATGTGCAAACACAGCAGCCAACATCCTGTCACACTGAGCATGTGCAAACACAGCAGCCAACATCCTGTAACACTGAGCATGTGCAAACACAGCAGCCAACATCTTGTCACACTGAGCATGTGCAAACACAGCAGACAACATCCTGTCACACTGAGCATGTGCAAACACAGCAGCCAACATCATGTCACACTGAGCATGTGCAAACACAACAGCCAACATCATGTCACACTGAGCATGTGCAAACACAGCAGACAACATCCTGTCACACTGAGCATGTGCAAACACAACAGCCAACATCCTGTCACACTGAGCATGTGCAAACACAGCAGCCAACATCCTGTCACACTGAGCATGTGCAAACACAGCAGCCACCATCCTGTCACACTGAGCATGTGCAAACACAACAGCCAACATCCTGTCACACTGAGCATGTGCAAACACAGCAGCCAACAACCTGTCACACTGAGCATGTGCAAACACAGCAGCCAACATCCTGTCACACTGAGCATGTGCAAACACAGCAGCCAACAACCTGTCACACTGAGCATGTGCAAACACAGCAGCCAACATCCTGTCACACTGAGCATGTGCAAACACAGCAGCCAACATCCTGTCACACTGAGCATGTGCAAACACAGCAGCCAACATCGCTGCAGTGCATCCTGGGATAGGGTGGGCCCACCTGTCCTTCAAATCCAGGGAGAAGGAGGACAGGTTTGTGGGAGACTAGGAGTCTGGACGGCCTTCGTGGCCTCGCTGTGATGTCATGGACCTTCACAGGAAGCAGAGGCTGAATTGAAACACACCTGCTGACTTCCTGTGTTCTGCTCTGACAGCTGCCATGTGTCACAGCCTGGATAATAAAGCCATCAAACTTCACTCAGCTCCAATAACACCATCAGTGTTTGATGTCCAGAGGATTCATCAGCTTTAACCACGATAGAAGCAGGAATCTCAGCACACCTTACCTTCAGATCATCTGTTCATCACCGAATCTGGCCACGCCCCAATCAGGACATGGCTCCTCTCACACTTTCGCCAAGCCCCCTTGTCTTCTGGGATTCCTCCAAATCACTTCCCTGGCCTCCCTTCCTCACCGGCGTTGCGACTTCTGCCTCCCACAAAGGAATCCCTGACCACTTAATCAAGCTCCTGGGTTGATGGTCATCACAAGTCTACCTGGTATACATTCACAACATTCTCCAAAACCTCCATTATGCCCAGTCCTGTCTTTGGGGGTTCTGCCTGGCCCAAGAGCGGTCGCCAGTCCCCTTCAAGGCCTTCCCCAAACCGCAGCACTAATCACACTTCCTCATCCCTCATCGCTTATCGTTACCAAGGGAGTGGTCCCTGCTAGTGACACAAATATCAAAGCTGAGTTTTTGTCAAAGTACAGACATGATAAAAAATGTGTATTTCATTGTTTTCCATGTTCTAATTAATCAGTTCTTGATTGAGTCTTTGTGTTACTGTTTGTGTGCACAGTCCATCAATGGGCGTTATTAGCAGTTATCAGCCCCATAACTGTGGTTCAGATTGCACCTGCTAGTAGGCTCAGTAGGTCGTTATCACCAGTTGGTGAGCCGGATCACTGTGTCGCTGTTGGAGGGACCCCGATGGATCCAGATCCAGTACAGACAGACTTCACACTGAGACGGGCTCATAGCAGCTAACTACTGAAAAATGTCTATTTAATCAGTTTGAATATGATTTTCTTATGAACAGAAACAGATTACATAATGAAAAAAGGCTTCTGAACTTTACTCTTTTGCCACAAGCATCATCTGTATGATGGAAGTCGAGCCTGGAAATAGTTTTTTGCTAGTGTATTACTTTAGCGTACGCTAAATTCAAAGCTCGCCATGAGAGTGTTAATAACTTGCTAATGTTCAGCTACACTTTACTAGGTCACATCTGTGACACACGTTACTTAAACAAAGAAGGAAATATTGGCTCTGTTTTATCTGCTGGGCCCAAAAGTGACTCCCTGTATTTAAACTGCTATGAAGAACTTGTTGGTCTATAATATGTGAACATGTGTCAAATGTGTCCATTATGAAAGATATCAGGTCATCTTGAGCCACAAAAACATTCCTATCATGAGGTAGACGCTGGAATCAGTTTGCTGCAGACGTTTATGTATCTGATATTTATCCAGTTAAAAGTTGAAATTCAAAAACGTCTTTTCAAGAGTCGTCTGTCCAAGAGGAGCACAAGCTGCAACAAATATAACAACAAGGCTGTTTTAAACGGCCACAAAGGAGCAGATTGGTTATATGCTTTCTTCCATTTGTGCAACATCTCTAAAATTAGAAATATCCTGTCTCAGAGTGACGCAGAAAAACTAGTTCATGCATTTATTACTTCCAGGCTGGACGACTGTAATTCATTATTATCAGGAAGTCCTAAAAACTCCCTGAAAAGCCTTCAGCTAATCCAAAATGCTGCAGCAAGAGTCCTGACAGGGACTAGAAAGAGAGAGCAGATTTCTCCTGTTTTGGCTTCCCTTCATTGGCTTCCTGTTAAATCCAGAATTGAATTCAAAATCCTGCTCCTCACATACAAGGTCTTAAATAATCAGGCCCCATCTTATCTTAATGACCTTGTAGTACCATATCACCCTATTAGAGCGCTTCGCTCTCGCTCTGCAGGCCTACTTGTTGTTCCTAGAGTATTTAAAAGTAGAATGGGAGGCAGAGCCTTCAGTTTTCAGGCCCCTCTTCTGTGGAACCAGCTTCCAGTTTGGATTCAGGAGACAGACACTATCTCTACTTTCAAGATTAGGCTTCAAACTTTCCTTTTTGCTAAAGCATATAGTTAGGGCTGGACCAGGTGACCCTGAATCCTCCCTTAGTTATGCTGCAATAGGCTGCTGGAGGATTCCCATGATGCACTGGGTGTTTCTTCTTCACTCACTATGTATTAACAGACCTCTCTGCATTGAATCATATCTGTTATTAACCTCTGTCTCTCTTCCACAGCATGTCTTTATCCTGTCTTCCTTCTCTCACCCCAACCAATCACAGCAGATGGCCCCGCCCCTCCCTGAGCCTGGTTCTGCTGGAGGTTTCTTCCTGTTAAAAGGGAGTTTTTCCTTCCCACTGTCGCCAAAGTGCTGCTCATAGGGGGTCATATGATTGTTGGGTTTTCTCTGTATCTATGAAGCGCCTTGAGGCGACTTTTGTTGTGATTTGGCGCTATATAAATAAAATTGAATTGAATTATAATGCAGCTGCTTCAGAGGAATAAACACTGTTTTTATTTCATGTGTAACACCTTTCAATGATGTGTTGACTAAAGTCTGTTGACCAGTGTAAGTAAAGACATCACACACACACATGGAAACACTGAAACCTGTTTGTGGTGCAGCAGCTCGCCTTTATCTAGACTGGGTCGGCTGCTGATCTCAATATAATCAATGTTTAAAGTTCTCAGTGTTTCTGTGTTCCTTCGTATAGGATCTCCCAGCATCATCACTGTGCTGTCCAATCATTGTGTGCTAGGTTACCCTTATAGTGCGATGTGTGTTTGCACAAAGAGAAGCATGTGTGTCAAATATAAATAAGCACAGAACAGAAACAGCTGCTCGTTTCTTCTGTTTAGAGTCAAGTTAGTGTTTTGTGTCTTTGTTTGAGGCCTGATGTCGA